ATGGCCAAATAAATTGGGACACAAATCAGTGGTTTACATTCTGTCAACATGGATAGCCCTGAAAACGTATAAATGTTGGACACACAATAAACAAGAAAGTGGGAGTTCAGCTTCTGGTTGGGATATAAGGAAAAAAGAGCAAGGAGCAGAAATGGTGCCCCAGTCCAGAGCCTCAGCACCTCCCAGGCCCTTCATAAATCTCAAGTGAATGATGAATATTGATGTTTGCCTCTTGGAACTAACCTCTAGCCTCACTCCTGAAGTCCTTAAATAGAATGCCCATGCCATCATACCATGTCCTTGGCTGACCAGCAGAGCGAGAATGAATTAACAGTAAAATCTCTCTAGGGCAGCAATCTGGGAAACATTATCAAGGGAGGAGGTGGGAACATGGTCAGAATAGTTTGCTCCTATTTATGAGTTTCCTAGCAGGTGTATTTTGGAGTGTGTATGTGTCTCTATAGCCATGTCTATCTATTAATGCCTCCTTAAGCATTCCAAGGTCAAAATCCTGCATAAACAACTAAAACTCTGGTCTCCTGGGAAATAGGAATATTCATCTGGGCTACAGTTGTTTTTGTTTGTTTGTTTTGGTGTGTTTTTTAAAAAATATATTTTATTGATTTTTTACAGAGAGGAAGGAAGAGGGATAGAGAGTTAGAAACATCAATGAGAGAGAAACATCGATCAGCTGCCTCCTGCACACCCCTCACTGGGGATGTGCCCACAACCAGGGTACATGCCCTTCACCGGAATCGAACCTGGGACATTTACAGCTCATTTGGTCAGTCCGCAGGCTGACGCTGTATTCACTGAGCCAAACCGGTTAGGGCTGTTTTGGTGTTTTTGTCTGTAAAATGAGGGTGTGGGCTAGATAAATCACTTTCAAGCCTTCTAAACTTATTTGATAAGTATTTACTAATCTCTCACCATGAGAAGACCTTGTGCCAGCATTGCTGGCATATATGGTGGGTGGACAAGACAGGACCAAGTGCCACCTTCATGAGTCCGGTGGGTGGATGGATGTCCAACATGTGATGATAGGCGTGGTGTGGCCATAAAAAAGAACAGGTGCTGTGGCGTGAATAATAGGAGAAACACCCTGCTCTGGGGACAGCAGGAAGGGAGGTTCAAGCCAAGATCTTAAGGAAGAACAGGAATTGGCTGGAAGAGAAGGTCAAGAAGGACATCCCAGGCAGAGGTTGCAAAGATCAGAAGCTGGAGAAGATGCTGCTCATTCCAGGACTGGTGTGGAGTGCCTCTACGGTAGACAAGGAGGGAATAAGGGTTTTAATGTGATGCTGAAGAGACAGGGCAGGTGTACAGGGCTTTGAGACCTTGTTGATAGTGTTGTTTTATCCTAACGACGATGGAAAACTTTCAAAGGATTAGAGGCAGAGGAATGTTATGATTGTATATGTACTTTTTAAAGATCCTTCTGGCATATAGTTGTGACCCCATAAATATTCAAATGAGGTAGTAGGATGGATCAAAGGGAGGTCTCATTGTGAGGCATAGGATGGGGCGGGGGGTACAAGAAGTCAGTGAGGAAAATGAGGATGGTGACCACAGAGGCAGGAAAGAAGTGGCTGGGGCATTTAAAAAACCAGGTTGCCAGGGCTTGGTCATTGGTTAGAGTGCAAAAGAGCATAGTCAAGGATTATTCTCAGGATTCTGGCTTTGGCCACAACCAAAAGCACGATGGTGTTATTTATCAGGTTTGCAGAAATGGTCAGGGGCGGATTTGGGACATGTTAAGTCTGAGGTCACTATAAATATTGCTAAACATCCGGAGGTCAGAGGGTTGGAAGTGAAATTCCTGCCCTAGAGGCATGGGGAAGGAGGAGACTACTGAAGGAGAGTGCAGAGGACCAAGGAGGTCTTCACCTGCCCTGAGGACCCCAGCATTTAACACACAGGTTGAGAGGAAGCCAGCTAAGGAAGCAAAAATGAAAAGAAAAAGGAAAGCCAGGAAATCTTGGTACCATGGAGAACAAGGGAAGAGTTTCATGCACATCAGAGTCTGAGCTGTGGAAAACATTCCTAAAAACACAAGCTCTAGCCCTAGTCAGTTTGGCTCAGTGGATAGAGTGTCAGCCTGGGGACCAAAGGGGCCTGGGTTCAACACGTACCTTGTACCTCGGTTGCAGGCTCCTCCCTGGCCCAGGCTCTGGTCGGGGCATGTGCAGGAGGCACCCAATCGATGTGTTTCTCTCACATTTATATTTCTCTCTGTCCTTCCCTCTCTCTTCCACTCTCTCTGAAAACCAATATCCTCAGATAAAAACAAACAAACAAAAACAAAACACAAGCTCTAATTAGATGGGAACTGGGGGAAAAAAGTGTTCTTTGGATTTTGCAAATGGAGATTGTTGTTGAGATTGTAAAATGAAGATAGTCTACAAAGACAGGTCTGTCAAAACTTACTACAAATCTATAGTAATTAAGATAGTGTGGAATGGCATAAGGATTGAAATATAGACCTGGGACAGGATTGAGTGTCCAGAAAGAAACCCATATATCATATCTATGGTTAGTTCATTTTTGACAAGGACACCCAGACCATTTAAATGGGGAAAGAGTAGTCTTTTTAACAAATGGTGCTGGAACAATTGGATATCCATATGCAAAAGATGAAGTTGGAGTCCTACCTCATACCATATACAAAACATGAACTCCAGAGGGATCAAAGACTTAAATGCCATCATCCCCTTGGGCCTAACAGTCCCATCAAGAAAATAAAAACTCTCATACTTTGCTGATGAGAATGTAAAATGGTAAATTCTGTGGTATCTGAATTATATATGAACTTTTTAAAAAAATATATTTTTATTGATTTCAGAGAGGAAGGGAGAGGGAGATAGAAATATCAATGATGAGAGACAAACATCTATCAGCTGCCTCCTGCACCCCTCCTCCCCCTCCCCTCTGACTGGGGATTGAGCCCAAAACCAGGGCATGTGCACTGACTGGGAATCAAACAGTGACCTCCTGGCTCATAGGTTGATGCTCAACCACTGAGCCATGCCAGCTGAGCTATATCTCAACTTAAAATTAAAAAAGATAATTCTGGCTGCATATAGGGATGGAGTAGGTGGGCAAGAGTGGAGACTGGGAGGTTCAGTCTTGTCTAGGGATGAACTGATGACTAAGGTCCAAGGGGATGATGGCTTTAAAAGGTGGGAAGGCCCAGGACAGCAATCCATCAAAGAGGCTGGTCTCAACAGGAAGAAGGGCACCTCCACAGTGAGGCAAGAGGGAAGAAGGGATGTGGGTTATAGGAGTAGGCATTTTAGAAAATTAGGTCTGTCTTTTGGTTTGATATGGAAAGGATCATGTATCCTTGTGAGCAGAGGATGCTGGAAGCCTCAAATAGCTGTGGGCAAGCAGAGAACATGGCCTTGGCTTCCAGAAAGACCATGGAACCCTGGGATTGGGCATGAGGGCTTCTGGTCAGAGAAGCAGTACTCTTGAATTGTACACAACAATGATTTTGGAGTTGGAATATGAGGAAACTTGAGATATTCATTCTATTTTTATGGCTCAATAATTTAAGCCATAGCCTGATTTTAATGAATGTTTGTTTTATGAAACCAAAGTTACTGGTTAATCAAGAACTGGCATTGGATTTTACAATCACAATTTAATTTTGAATCGAGTTATCTGCCAATGCATTCATAAAAGAGAAAAGGGTAGAATTAATAATGATATTAAACTTACATGGTTTAATTGGCAGGTTTTTTTTAGTCTTCATTGGCTCACTTGGTCTGCACAGTAAGCATGTGAAGCAAGTTTTATTATTTTCACATTCATTTTATATAAGGACACGGAGGCTTACATGGTTAACGCTTTTCTAAGTAGCCTGAAACCAGGTCTTCCAAACCTCACGTTCTTTCCACTGTTACCCCATGAATCAAGCAGAATACTTTTTTTGTTTATTCAAATTCTCAGAGTATGCTGCCAACGTATCTTTTTCCAGAAAGTCTATTTTTGTAAAATGTCTTTGATGCTTGCCCATTCCAGTGACTATTTTAAATAACATTTTTTTTCTGTTAATATAAATGGTAATTGTAGAAAAATCTAGAAAAACATTTTAAAAATCCCACTCAGATAACTACTGTTAACATTTTAGTGTCTATCTTTCTGGTGTCTTCCTAAAAATATATGACCTATAAATATATACACACACATATATACATACACACACACATATATATATTTTTATCTTTACAAAATTGTGTTCATACTATAAACAGCTTTGTGTCCTACTTTTCCACTTAGTATGATGTTGTGAGAAGTGGCATAGCATACTGGTGAATGTTAATGAGGCCCTAGAACAGAAGGCAACACCCTGTGTGCCCTTGTGAATGCTACTTAACCTTTTTGTACCTTAATACAAAATAGGTCCATTCAAACTTTCATACAAGATATGCTATGTCCTATGTCCTATGTACTCTCCGCTGATCCCGGGTGATCTCTTTTCTTGGGATCAGGAATTGCTCTGTGAAACACGTCTGCTCCCTCTCCCATTGGCCCGTGGCGTCCTTGCCTTGAGTCCATCTTGCTCAGATCCTCTGCTCCCTTGCCTGTGGCTTCCATAACATCCACTCCCGCCGGTGAGCTCTCCAGAGGCAGCCCTTTACAGTCTTTGTACAATCTTCCTGACCAGCCTGTGTGTCTGCAAGCATATAGTCGATGTGGACTTGCTGTGCTATTTCGCTTAATATATATCTTGGATATTGTTTATATTAGAGCATATGGCCCTGCCTTGTTTTGTTGTTTGTTTGTTTGTTTTAAACTGCTATGTACAGGAAAGCTTTTTAAAGCATGCCATGAAGCCTAGAAGCTATAAAAGAAAAGTTGATAAATTTGACTACATAAAAATTAAAAGCTTTAGTATAAGAAAAGATACTAAAAATAAAGACGATACAGCTTCCACATTCATCTGGGCCTCCAACATTGCTCGGTGATCCTCTTTTGTGCTCTCATTCCTTTCTCAACAGTGACTACTTCAGACCTTCCTGCTCCTCAAAGCTCCAACTCCATCCTTCCTTGCTTGTTTGTCTTCTGCTTCACACAGAAAACCAAAATCACCAGGTACAAATGCCCTCTTCTTCCTACCACAGAACCTCTAAATGTATTTGAACTCAAGCCCGTCCATTCCATCTCCCACCTGTTAAAATGCAAGGTATCTCTCCTCCTGTCTGAAGCCAACACAACCTGGCTCCCATCCCATCTTCCCTTGGTAGGACCGTTGATTACCTGAGTCAGAAAACTAGAAGTCAACTTGGCCCACCAGTGCTGCACTCTCACCCCATCGATTACCACATCCTGCTGGGTTTTACCTCTTAGCTATATCCTCACACTGTTCTATCCTCTCTTTCCTTCCTTTACTGCTCAGGATCAGGCCTCATCATTTCATGCCGGGACTTCACTGATCCCTGCTTTCAACTTGACCTTGGAGCGGTCCTCCATATAGCTGCCAGTGGTGCATCTAAAACGCAGACCTGCTCACGTCTCCTGCCAAACACCGTTCACTGACCACCTGCCTCTTCCATTACTTGTATCGTCCACTGTAGTAAGAGCAGTGTGTAAGGAACCCCCTGGTTGGTGAGGGAGCACCTATAATTTGGAAAAGCTTCCCCAGTCCATTTGAGTCACAGACTTCCAGGATAGTTTTGTAATGCAAGGCTCTTTCCTCCATGACCCTTGATTGCCCAGCTCTCCAGACTCACCTGCCAGCATTCCTCACCTTGGACTTGATGTCACACAACCACCCCACTTCTTCCACACACTTACCACCCTACTTCTTGGGACCCCGTATTGCTCATCTTCCAAAACTCAGCAATGATGCCCCTGAGGTCTCTGCTGGGTAAGTGATCCCCACTCTGGGTAATCCTAGCATTCTGCACAACCTAAGTGCTTTGTTGAGCAGTCCGGTGGTCTGGCTGCCTCTTAGGAAGCTGGGTGGAAGCTGTCTGACTCTAGAATGTGGAACACATGTCACTACTTGGGCCCCAGCTTTAGGTCCTACCGGCTAATCCTGGGGTAATGGGTCCTTCCTTCATAGCACTTACCATGATATTAAAATGACTTATTGTGTTTCCATCCCCACGACACTAGAAGCATGTTGACAGCAAGGACTATGTCTTGTTCTTCACACAACCTGGCACATACCTTGTGCACAGCTGAACCGAAAAGGAACTTGGCAAACGACAGACTGAGTTTAATGTTTTCTTGGTCATTGTACCAGAACAGATGGTCCTAAAGACAGTTTATGAAATGTAATTAGGGTAAGTGTAAATTCCTGTAGCTACATACAAAAATAACAGGCATGCAAATATCAGGTGGGCAAGTATGGCTTTGTGATAGTTCATGGGAGAAAAGGTAGGGATTTTCACTGACGAAGCCTTGCCCTGGGTTGCCGGTGTGGTCAGGCTGCAGGCGCTGCTGGAAACGTGGCCTTCCATACTGGTGTCGCTCTGTTATTGTCCCTGTTCTCTCTTGTGTCTTCAGTAATTTCCACTCCCATCCATCCTCTCATCCTATACATATGTCCAGGTGCCCCTCCTGCCAACCTTTAAAACCCTCTGTCCTACCTGCCTTTTCCTCAGGTGCTTCCCTCTGTTCTTTTCCTTTTATTTTTTAATTTTTATTTCTTAAACGTATCTTTATTATTGAGAGTATTATAGATGTCCCCTTTCTCTCCCCCTTTGATGCTCTTCCTTTTATACTCTTGAAAAAAAGAGTCTATACTGCCCCTGCTCACCATCCATTCCTTACTATCTGAAAACCCCTTGCCCACCTTAGCTTCCATGATGCTACTTTCTCTTGGTTCATCCTCTCTCTCCTTTCCTCCTCTCTGGAGGTAACTTTGCTTTATTGAAAAGCTGGAGACCCTCCAAAGTGATTCAGCTCTCCGTTTCCTATTTCATACACCCTAACATCATTGAATACAGCCCCCCTCCTCTTTCCTGACGGTGGCTTCCCACCCACATGCTCCCTTGAGCCCATCTGCTCCTCAGAGACCTCGCTCAATCATCCATGTCTCTTCTGTTGTGGTTCCTACCCATTCCATCACTTTTGCCTACGAGCATGTGCGAATTTTTCCATCCTTGCTGCCTCCTTTGGATTTTTCCATCCCTTAAGAACTTCCTGTGATCCTCTGCCCTTCACCACCAGCCTTTTCCAAAGAGAAGTCCACCTCCCTGCCTCCCTCTTGCTGCCTCTCACCAGTCACTCAGTGTCACACAGTCTGACTTAGGCCTGAGTTACTCTGTGACAGCTGCTCCCCAAGTGGCATTAGAAACCTAACCAGCAATTTAAGTGCCTTTCCTTCCCTTTCCCCCCAGTTCTCATCCTCAGGGATCTCCCTACAGGATTTGGCCAACTCTTCCTCCTTTTAGGGCAGCCCCAGTCCTCATCTTCTCTTCCCTTGTTGTCTCTTTGTGCTTTCTTGGGTTCCTGCCGTGTCTGCTTCTCCCATCCTAGATGGAGGGTTTCCTGGTTCTCTGTTCTTGGTGTTTTTTCTCGACACTCTCCCCATTACCTCTAACAATAAGGAGATGGAGAGAGGGTGCTGAAAAGACTATGAGGATAGGGGAGTTCTTTGTGTTGGTTTGGTGATATTGGCTTATTATTGTTGTAGTTGTTTTATAATGGTTTGAGGGATTCCTTAGGAGACCAACAAACCACATGTTGGTTCTGCTATTTTCTGGACATATCCCAAACATTCTTTTTTTAAAAAAATTGATGAGAGTGAGAGAGAGAGAGAGAGAGAGAGAGAGAGACAGAGAGAGAGAGCGCGAGCCTGGTTTTTCCACCTATTTATGCATTCATTGGTTGCTTCTTGTATGTGCCCTGACTGGGGATGGAACCTGCAACCTTGGCATATCAGGACAACACTCCAACCAACTGAGCTGCCCAGCCAGGGCATCCTCAAACATTCTTTGTCTTGGTCTTTCTTTACCTGTTGTGTTCCCTCCTCGCTCATGGCCTCTGTAGCATTCCAGTAATGCTTCTCTTACAAATCAGCTATGACGCTGTAGTCCTTTCACCATGTACTGTAGCTTCTATTCTTCGCCAGGACACAGGCTCTCTTGAGGTCAGGACTTGGCTTATTTTATATCCCTTGGAGCACTTAACAGATTCTTGCATAGAGTGTGTAATCTATAAGAGCTTCCTCAGCTGCCTCAGCTAATGGGAAGAGCATGACTTTTAGACATAAACAGACCGGGATTCTGATGCTGCTCCTGGTTAGCTGGGCGACCTTGGGCACATTGCTTACCTTTCTAATGACAGTAATGTGAGGATAAAATATGACAATGGGTGCTCAGAAGATGCAGGTCCCTTCCCCTTCCCGAGGTGGGAAGCAGTGGGGTGAGGTGGGCACCAACCTGGGGGACACTAGGACACTCAGTGAAAGCAAAGCCAAGCATTTGTGCAGACTTCAGGATTTGCGGGGAAGCCATTTGCAAGCCTGCCCTACTTTGACACAACACAGGATCCTCCATGAATGATCTACAGTTTCAGCCCTGGGACTGGCCAGAAGTGGGAGGAGACAAAGTGACCTAAATTGTTTAAAGCAGCTTCTGAGGACATATTGATATACTTGATGTATCTCTGCCCATAAATGACTGGCCAGTGGTTGGAATTTTATTGCACTTGGTATGGCCCCTTTAACCTTCACACAGTCCTGCCTTAGCTTCCGTTTTGCTGTTTTTATTTTTTTTCCCCCCTGCCTCCTTCCCTCCCTTGGCCCCTACTGCATACACAAATACCAGTACACTACTTAGCTGCCCTCTTCCTGACTTTCCCTACCCCAAGTTAAGCTGCTGGGGTAGGACATTCCAAGCCCTTCTCTCAAGTCTAGCAGCTCTTCAAATGGCATCACACCACGTAACTGTTATGGAGTTGGGCAGATGTGTATTTCACCTGCAGAATCCTTTGAAAACAAGGAAGAGGCTGGTAAGCCAGCCACCAAAGCCATTTGGAGTGATCCAGGAAGGTATTCCTTAGAATTAAAGTGCCCTAGCTTGTTTCAAGTTTCTTCAACGTTTAAGTTGTCCTTGCTTTTTCCTTAGGAACAATGCTTCAGGGAACGCCCTCAAATGCAGCTTGTGGGTTTCTCTAGGATAGAGATGCCCAGGGGTTAGAGGATATGTGTATTTAAAAATTTATTAGATCCTGCCAGACTGTTCAGTTCAAAGACTGCTGCCACAGAAAAAAAATTATGGTGTCATTTTCTATCTTGCTCCAAAAGCCCTTCTCATTGCTAAAGTTATAAACTGGTTTTTCTGTGTTTATAATGTTTGGCCTTTTGCTTTTTTATATTTGGATCCCTTCACTCCCTACGAGAGCTTTTTCCATTGTGTAAGTGCCACCTGAATAGTCTCCTTTGCTTTGAGGCTTGCTGTTCTATTTCACTGATCCATATGTCTACTCATACTATTGCTGTCATATTTTGTGCTTTTAAAAAATTTGTGGAAAAATAAATAACATACAAATTTCCATTTTAACTGTTTTTAAGTATACAATTCAGTGACATTAATCATATTCATAGTGTTGTGCAATAATCACCACTGTTTCCAGACTTTTCATCAGCTCAAACAGAAACTCGGTACTCATTAAGCAATAGCTTCCTGTCCCCATCTCATCCTGTCCCCTGGTAGTCTACTTTCTGTCTCTGTGAATTTGCATATTCTAGGTGTTTCATATAAGTGGAACTATACAATATTTGTCCTTTTGTATCTGGTTTATTTTACTTAGCTTAATGTTTTCAAGGTCCATGCAGTTTGAATCATGTATTAGAATTTCATTTCTTTTTATAGCCGAATAATATTCTGTTATATATAGACCACGTTTTGCTTATCCATCATCTGTTCATAGACACTTGGGTTGTTTCTACCTTTTGTTTATGCTCTGTGAACATATGTGTACAAGTATCTGTTTGAATCCCTGTTTTCAGTTCTCTTGGGTATCTAACTAAGAGTGGAAGAGCTGGGTCATATGGTAATTCATGTTTAACTTTTAGTGGAGCTGTCAAACCGTTTTCTACAGTGGCCACAGAGGAGATGCTTGACCCCCTTCATTGTTAGTAGGAAGAGCAGTCCCTGCGGCCTGTTTTGCATTCTCCTGCCCACATTTCCCTCCCCTGCTGGAGCCAAGCACAGAACCTGGCACACGGTGGTACCAAGTGCAGGGTGGCCTGGTTGGGTGGATAAATGGACAGATGAACTTCAGACCACTGGACTGTTGAGCAGAAAGCAATGTGGTGCTGTGAAAAGTGCCTGGAGCCATATTAATGGTGAGTGAGTGTGACAAGAGACATGAATTCTGTTTCGTAGATGAGCCCTTAGTTTCTGTCTCATTTAGCTAATCTGTAAAAGGTGATTGCACTCCTGCTCTACACGGTGTTGAGACATGAGATCTGGGTGCAAAAGCCAAAGACACCCACCAATGTTAGGTATTGCTGCGTCCCACGTGTGCCTCAGCACTCAGACTAGGGCCTGACGCTTCGGTTACATGATTTCTTGTGTGCCTTCATTCATACATTCAGCCACTATTAATTGAGTGCTTGCTCTGTGCCAGACACTGTTCTGGAGACTGGGATTCGGCTGTGACTAAGAGGGAGAAAAAAGGCCTTGGCCTCATCAATCACTCAGTGGTCCAAGAACAAGTCCCAAGAGACAACTCCCTTCCTATTCTTTTGGCACCAACTCTAGACTTTCTAAAAGCACAGCAAGAAATGCTGGTGAAGAGCTTGTATTTTAAGGAGGTGTTTCCACCTTAAAGGAGAAAAATGGATTTTAAAATGTAGAACGAAGAATAGGCCAGGTGCTTTATAAGTTAAGCAGCTTGAAACTCCATTGGGGAACCTTCATGGGCTTTCTGTGTGAAGAGCAAAGAGAAGTTTCCAGATACTCCCCCCACTGTGACCCCCTCAGGAAAAATGAGAGAGGCATGGTCTCCACACCTCTTCTTGCAAGAGTTGGGGCTGGGTGGGGGTGGTTGGGAGGACTGTCACCAGGCTCCCTGCAACACCAGATCTAACTAGGAATGGTGTCAGGTGACTCTTTGGCCCCACTGGGAGATGGAAGTCTGTTTATCTGGTTTGGTCACTGACCCCTGCCCCGCAGGAGCCCTCCAAGGTGGCCCAAGAGCTCATGGCCACTGAGCATGGATCTCATGTACTGGCTGTCAATCATCCCATTTAATCCACCCCACAACCCTCGAGCGTCTATAAAAAACAGGCTCAGGGAGGGTAAGAACCTTAGTCTAGGTCAGTGATGGCGAACCTTTTGAGCTCGGCATGTCAGCATTTTGAAAAACCCTAACTTAACTCTGGTGCCATGTCACATATAGAAATTTTTTGTTATTTGCAACTATAGTAAAACAAAAGACTTATATTTTTGATATTTATTTTATATATTTAAATGCCATTTAACAAAGAAAAATCAACCACAAAAATGAGTTTGCGTGTCACCTCTGACACGCGTGTCATAGGTTCACCATCACTGGCCTAGGTTATGCATCTGTTCACGGTAGAGCTAGAATCCTTGTTCTTACCAGGACATTAGTTGATCTTAGGAGCCAAGCAAAGATTGATGGGACAAGAATTGGCAAGAGACTCTATGTAATAAAACCTGTTATACTGACAAGGATGAATTTTATTATTATTAAATAAACTTTGCAATAAAGTGACCCTTTTGAAGCTCAGAAAATTTTATGAGCACTATTAGTTTCCTAAATACTTTCTTGCTATTTTGCACCTTATCCTCATAATATAACCTCTTGTAAAAGCAATGTGTTTTTTTAATACCCATTTTATGGACCGAGAAACTGTGGCTCACAGAAAGTAAGATGCCTCAAACTGCATGACTAGTCCGAGTGTGAGGCCTGACGTGTGTGGGGGGTCTGACAGTTGTGGGCAACAGCTTTATCAAGTATCTCACTCCCACTGGGGCTCTCAGGGCAGAGTTGACCCCAGCCTGGTTCGGAAGGGTGGGAATTCCTCCACTTAATGCGGTCACAGTTTGTTTTTCTCCCAAACCTTTATTATTCAACTTATGTATTGTCGTGAGTGCTATTGATTTACATGTGTCATTTACCAGTCTTTTCTCTAGAATGTGAAATAAACTTTACCTCCATACGACTGCCATTTGTTAAAAGGATTATCACCTCTAGTGATGCCAGTATATTTAGAAATGGTGGAATTTTTCCCTGCACATATGCTTCAAGAGCCTCACCTGAAGTTTGCCCAGGGCTGGGCTTAGAATAAGACCAGGTCTGTGCCCTCAAAGCATCATCTGGCCCAAGTAATGGCACCAGCTACAGATGTGCAGAAAGAGCTGTGGGGAGACAACCTGCCCAGGAAGACTTCCCAGAGTGATAGGCATGTGTGTGTGTTTTTCTGCCAGGCAGAGAGAAACACCCTCACAGACACACCCAGAAATAATGTGTAGCCACATATCTGGCACCCTGTGACCTAGCCCAGTGGACAGAATTAGCCGGAACACCAGGAGGGGTGATTTCAGAGTCAACAGCGGGATGAGCACCTCCTGTAAGCCTGCTGTCAGCTTCCATTTTCATGAACTTCTTTAACACCCCAAGAGTGGGTGTCGCCCATTCATAGGAGAGAAATTGTCTCAACATTCACACCAAAATGGAGGCCAAGCCTCTTTATACTCATTCTCGGCAGGCGTTGGGTTGTGAATACAATATTCTGTAACCTTTTTTGTTTTGTTTTTTCTTCACCTCAGGCCTTCTGTGGCTTCCTACTCTATTCTACTCCAATATACTATTATAAATTATTATTATGGACAGTGATAATTAACATATGGTACTGTAATAGAAATGATAGCTAACTCTTATAGAATATTAGGTATACTAGGCAATTTTCTAGAGTTTTCCGTACATTTACTAGCCTTGTTTTGTAGATGGGGAAACTGAGGCACAGAGAGATTGAATGACTTGCCCAGAGCCACAGGGTTCCATCCCAGGGTCTCATCCGACTTTCCCAGTGAATTGCCCGAAGCCATACAGCAAGAGAAAGCTGGAGGTAGGACCTGAACTTATGGATTCTGATTTAAGAGCCTCTCTTCATTCAGCCTCCCACCTCTGCCTTCAGAATCCTGGGGTATTTTTACTGTGAGAAGGGTCCTTGAAGACCCTCTCACGCTCCTTCCTTCTCATGCAGGCCCAGTGCTCACAGGTGCCCCCCTGCCCTATTCTGCCTGTGAGAGCAGCTGCCTCCTGCTAAATGGTGTTTGTACAGAACCTATGTTGTGGCTCTTAAAAAGAAATGTGTGGGATGAATAAGCACCTAAAAATAACTCAGGATCAATTTGGGGGGGAGTGGAGGGGGAAGACTGTGTTTTCCTTTCTTCTCCCTCTTCTCCCTCCCTCTGCCCCGAAGGCCCATAAATTGCTGCTGGTTGACAGCCGGGCCAGGCTGGCTTCCTGTAAGGCTGTAATAACATGGAATTAGCCTGACTGCCGCCCTCTCCAGGACGGAAATGCTGACCCTTGGTCACTACAGACATCTGAGTTGATGCCTCTTGCGCTGGTCCACGCCCCTGGGACAGGTCTTTGCTTATTAGAAACTGGGTACAGACAGATTCCTGGACTTGTCTACCTGGGGAGGAGCAATGGAAAAACCTCTCCAGATGAGAGGCTGGCAGCTTCTGGGCTTGGCCATTTGAGAGTGCCCCAAATTCCTGCCTCCGGGGAGGAACCGGGCGGGCAGAGGCAGGGAGCTCTGGCAGCCTGGGCCCCTGAGCCGAGGTTTCCAGCTGTCTGCTGACTCAGGGACTTGGCTGAGTGGTTTCTATCTGTCTCGGTGCCTCTAACTGGCCCCTTTACCCCACCCTCCACCCCCCACCCCCACCCACAGACTGCCTGGAGAGGCTTTAGAAATCCATTAGATCTTTGCTTCCCAGAACCTTCCAGCTAAAAAGTAGCAACCAGGCCACATTTCTCCCTCAGCCTGGTTGACCTGCAGAATGGATATGGGTTCTGGTGCTATGCTGAGTGTTTCCATGTAGCTCAGCCATAACTGGGGTCTCTCTTTCCCTGTGGTGTCAAATGTATGGAAAGGGTCCACAGATACCTGTGTTTAATATGGGGGTGGGGATGGCAGTGTAAAGAGGGAAGAGAAACCACCAGGTCTCCGCTTATGCTGAGTCTTTGGCCAAGAGATGGAAAATTCCAGGTGGGAGCTTGGAAATTCCCAGAGCGGGAGAAGTGGCAAGGGAAGTGCCACACTTCCTGTCTCTCCCACCCTCGGCCACAGCCGGGACTGGGGCCAGGGTTCCTGAGCCCGAACGATGATTTCAGTTGTTCCCAGTCTTGGCTACACATCAGCTTTACAATTTGGATTCCCAGGCTGAGCCCGGGCCTGTTATATCAGCACCCCTGGGGAAGGACCCAGACTGCCCAGATGACTGCAGTGTGCAGCTGGAGTACAGAGCCATCCTGGCAATAACAGCCTCTGTTTTCTGCCACCCTCTGCCTTGCTCTTTAACTTCTGGTTTCTCAAATTCAGAGGTAGGCACTGCCATACCTGACACTGTGTCCTATCTAACAGGGACTGAGTGATAATGTCCAGGGCTGCTGTGATGATGATGATAATGATGATGATGATGATGATGATGATGATGATGATGATGATAATGATGATGATTTAAGTCACATTCCAAGGGCTAGAAGCATTCAAAAAGTGCTTTTCTCTGACTTAACTAAAAAGTGTCCTTTATAAATATTGAAGGGAAAGAAAGGATCATTTTGAAAGTTGTACTTAAGCTCCAAAAGAGGTTAAAAACAGAAGTTCCCCTTAGCTCATAGACAGCAAAATGACCCATCTTTTGAGAGCTCCACTGCCTTCTCCTGGGCCTGGCCTGAGCTGAGTTCTTGTCCTTAGGACCAAGTGAGCCTCACAAGTGGCTCCCCTGCTCCCTTGACTCACACATGATTCCTGAATCTGCATGTCTGGGCCCCCTCTGACCAGGTTACAGTGGATCTGCCTTGGCACATGGTTAACCAGCAGTGCAGACAATGCAGTGAAGACCAGGTTCCTCCCCCAAAGCCATGAAAGCAGGACTCTTGTCCTGATTCCTCTTAACTACCACTCCTAGCGCCCAGGGTCAGATCTCCGTCTGCCCCTTCATCCTGCAGCTGGTTTCATCTTTTCCCTTGCTCCCTTCTTAAAGCCCTGGCCCCAACTTGGACTCTTGTCTTCCTGGCTCACCCTGACTGCCTGTAGCTGCCAGTCTGGCTCCTCTTTGAAGCCTCCCAGGTACCACTCCCAGCAACTGGCCTCAAACACAGGTGGACCTGAGAGTCTACAGGCCAGAGGCACCGCAGGAGCCATCAGTGAACTCACCCTCCACTGCTTGAGTCCTCTCAGTCCTCGTCAGGTGCTCCATCCGGCCTCAGCCTGAGCTCCGAAAGTGAAGAGGCACTCTATCCTGCTTCACCTCTTGAGTCCATATTTGCTTTTCCTACCCGGCAGCCTGTCTGGCTTTCTGTTGCCTACATGGCAGAACCTAAGTGTTCTAGCTGTTACTCCCCAGGAATATGCTCAGTGTGGCACAGACACACTTGGTCACACTGCCCCTTGTGGTCAGCTCTGCTGCCAGGTCTTCCTGCACCTGCCGATCTTCCTCCCCACCAGCCTCCATTTTCAGCTCCGTCCACACTCTGCTCTCCTAGAACCCTTGGGAGTAAAGTGGCATGTGCAGGTGCCCGTGGTGCCTCCCTAAATGGAGTCCGGGGCAGTCCCTGTCCATACAGATGAGCCAGCAGGGGCCTTCCCATCCTGTCCTCCTGAACTGCCTGAGAGCTCTGGGCATACTTCTGGTTTTCTCTATTTGAAACTGCCCTTTCTGTGTACCCATTCCTCTGAAGGGAAGAACAAGAACATTTCTGGGGTGACTTAGCAGCTGCAGGAACCACTGCTAAGCAAGACTGGAAACATAATTCTCGATTTTCAGGTTCACAGATAATAAAACCAGGGCTAAGGCATACAGGCTCATGCACACTTAGTGCCAGAGTGAGAGGGGCACCCTGGACCTCTGCCCTTTCTCTTAGGAGACTCCTGGCCCTTTTGCTGATCAGGAGGGTACCTTTCTAGAAACCTTCTATAGTGGCCTGCTCTCCTTAATATGTCTCGGAACACCCTTAGTCCTAGAGGAGGCCTGAGGATAGCAGAGCACTTGACTTTTCCCGGCTCTAAGTGGCACTTCAGACCTCATCTCATTATTCATTTATGCTGTAGCTCCTTAGGGTCTCCAAAGACAGCTCTGATATCCCCAGCTGGTGCCCAGAGAGTGCGCTGGGGCAGACATGT